CTGGATTCATTGTAGCATTGTCCATGATACCCACCATCTGGAAAACTTAAGTGCCCAAGGACCAACAAATGGAGAAAGAAAATGTGATACATGAACATAAAGGCACATTCCTCACTTTTAATAAAAGATGAAATCCTGTTTTATACTTGACAGTGTGCGTGTGTTGGGCTGTTAAGCCAGGCTGAGATCCCACTTAAAGGGGTCACACGAAGACAGGTTGCAATGCAATAAGCAAAAGGTCTTTATTGGCTAGCTTGAGCTAGGGCCCTTATTCAGCTCACCCACACAGAGGCAGCCTTCACGGAATGAGTGGCCCCAAGTTTCAAAAGTGAGGGGCTTTTAAACCATATCATTATACAATGGACTTTCCATGGACTACCCTTTTGGCCTCAGTCAGAGGGGCTTTTCATTACTTATACTTAACTGAGTCATTATAAGTCAGAGTTATATAAGGTTACTTAGAGGGGGCTTTACTACCTGCATCTGGCTTGGTGACTTTAGTTGACCTCACTCAATTCCAGGAATTTGTACTCAATTCCAGGAATTCTGGAACCGAAACCTAGATCTAGCTTCTTATGGCTTCTTTATGAGCCTGTCATGGTGCTGCCGTTGCTTTCTCTATTTCTCAGGGTTACATCTGGTGATGGTCAGGGCTTATTCCCAGCTCATTACTCAGGGATCAGTCCTGCCTGGCAGTGTCAGGAATTGAATCAGGGTTGACCATATGACAGACAAATGTCTTAACCCCTGCACTATCTCACTGGTCTGAAATCTTGACTTTTGCCATGGCATGGCTGGAACTGGAGGGAGTCATGATAAGTGAAATAACTCAGAGGGAGAAAGACAAAAACAGGATGATCTCCTTCATGGTGGGAGCTAGGGAAGCCAAGACAGGGAACAGTGAAAATGAACATGGTCTAGTGAAAATGAACACTTCGATTCAGTTTACCGGAGGCAAAAAAGAGGACACATGGGGGTCTGTGGTAGAAATATTAGTACTTTGGTGCTGATAGTAGTGTGGTCACCTTTTACTTGAAGAAGTGCAAAATTGTCCACCTAGGACAGGTATTTGTGGAAACTAGTGTGACCTCAACTAAGACCAAGAAAAGATAAAGAAAAAAAAAAGAGGAAATTTGGATGAAAAAGAAGACTCCAGGACCAGGTGTGTGGGAGGAAAGAACACAAGAAGAAGCCACCAGCGTGGCTGGATCCTGAGTAACTTCAGAGTAACTCAAAGGGCCATGGACGTACTTTGCATGCAGGAGACCCATGCATGGTTCATCTCTGGCACTGTGTAGATCCCAAGCACTGAGCAGGGAACTAAGTGCCCCACTGAGCTTGGAGATGGACATGACTCCTGTGGGTTGTTGGGTGTGATCCTGAAACCATAGCACTGTAGTACTGTAGCACTGACCTCCCATTGTTAATTGATTTGATCGAGTGGGCCCAGTAACTCCTCCATTGTGAGAGTTCTTGTTACTGTGTTTGGCATATCGAATATGTCATGGGGAGCTTGCCAGGCTTTGCTGTGCGGGCGAGATACTCTCGGTAGCATGCCAGGCTCTCCAAGAGGGGTGGAGGAATTGAAACTGGGTCGGCCGCGGGCAAGGCAAATGCCCTACCTGCTGTGCTATCACTCCAGCCCCTGAAACCATAGATCAAACTAAAACAAATACTAAACAAAGGAAGTAAAGTAAGATATAAAATAAAACTTAGCTTCTTTTAAAAAAATTGATACAGATACAGTTACAAAGCTTTCATGTTTGATTTTCAGTCATACAATGATCAAACACCCTCCCTTCACCAGTGCACATATTCCATCACTCAAATCCCCAGTATCCTCCCTGCCCAATCCCAACCCTTCCCCTGCCTGTGTGGCAGGAAATTTCCACAATATTCTCTCTCTATTTTGATTACATTCAATATTTTGACACCAGTCCCACCTTTATTACTTGGAATTTTCCCACCATCACTCAAACCTGCCTAAAAGGCAATACTAAAAGAATTTATTTTGTATTGTTTATTTTGGATAGCATATAATGTTGTGTGGCCACGAGAGCGGCCACGTGCTTCTGGAATTCTAAAATTTTAATAATCACAGTCTGGAGAGATCTCTGCTGCGAGCTGCTCGGTTCCAAGATTCATTTGTGTGTCTCTGGATCATGGTCATTTAGGAGCCTAATCAGTAGATGAGCAGCATTTTGTGGGCATAATCTCAGAGTCCCATCGGGGCAGGGGGAAGGAAGAAATTCTACCTTCTTAATCGGGTGGTTCACATACCCAGAGTCGCATAACTGAGCGTCAGAGTCTTGGTAACAGTAAGAAGCTTCTGAATGCACAACACCAAAACTTAATTTGAAATCCAGTGTGTAGCAAATCAAAGAGTTGCTGGCAGTGCCTACTTGTGCTGCATACTCAGTGCAAAGGGGTGGTGAGTGATGAGTGTTTAAGAAGCCCTGGTTTACAGCATCTCTTCAGCAATCCTTCTGTCTGGCAGCCCTTGCCAGCAAATCCAGATCCTTCATGGTGATTCTGTAAGAACAGGGGAGGGAGGACAGGAGAGTGCTCCGATATCAAGTCTTACAAGCAGTCTCTGGGAGAGACGCTCTATGCTGCCATGGTGTGCAGTGAGCAGAGGGCTGGTCACTGGTTGCTTGGAGGGAAGTGGGGGAGTGAGGTGGGCACACTGAGCAAATGGGTGGGCCCCGTCTTTAACGAAGGCTGGAACTGGCCTTTCAGCAGGGAATTCCACGCAGTATACATACATGCAGATTTACAGGGACATTCTCCAAACCTATAGAATATCACCATTCAGTGATCTGTCAAGGCTACAAAAGACTGTTTTAAAAATAAGAAAAGTAGTAGACATTAAAGACTTGCTGAGCCTCTCTACTGTGGCAAGGCATTTCCTCCTAGAGACTCCCTCTCTCCTGGATGGAGTGGTTCTGGTCTGCAGAACTGGGAGAGAACAGAATTCTGTTATTTGGGGCCCCTTCTTGGGTAATCTTTATTTTGTTTGTTTTGGGGCCATTTCTGGTGATGCTCAGGAGTTACTCCTCGCTCTGTGCTCAGGAATTACTCCTGACTGTGATGGGCGTGGAGAGGATTGGTGGGAGATTGGGGGACCATATGAGTTTTCAGGGATTGAACTGGAGTCAGCTACATGCAAAGTCAGTGCCCTACCTGCCGTACTATCTCTCTGACCTTTTGAGTGGTCATCTTTAAATTATGAATTTACTTTTTCATTTCAGAAACTGGACCCACATGCAAAACAAGCACTCTACTGCAGAGAAATACCCTGGCCTATTGGTGTCATTTAAAGACAGAATACATGAGAATACACTTTTTTTGCTGACTCTGTTGTAACTAGTACTTTGTGCCAGTCCTCTGAGACTTGCCGCTCACAGGCAGGGGGAACTGACTGGCAGAGTGTCGGGATGGAATGAACCATCTCATCATCATAATGTCATGGAGGCTGGTGCAGACATAGTGGATGGGAAGGTCTATAGAAATAATTTTTTCTTTCACCAGAAGAATTTGCTTTGGAATATAACATTCTCTATCTTGATGCCCCCGTAGAAAGTATTCTTGGAAGGGGCCAGAGCAATAGTACAGTGGGTAGAGCATTTGCCTTGCATGCAGCCAACTCAGGTTCAATCTCTGGCATCCCATATGGTCCCCCAAGCACTTCTAGGAGTAATTCCTGAGTGCAGAGCCAGGCATAACCCCTGAGTATTGCTTAATGTGACCCAAAAAGCCAAAAAAAGAAAAAAAAGAAAGTATTCTTGGAAGTTGTCAGAAGCAGTTTCTCCAGCGACCCTGATGGCATTTGGACCATCCGCTTCATACTGGGAGGGGACAAAAGGACACCCATGCGAGGGGGTGGGGGAGGGTCCCTCATGGCCTAGAGGCTGCAGCTGACAAAGCAGGATGGGAAGAGAAGGCAAAAGGTGACACTGGGAAGTTCGCCCCCCAGAGGGTCCCACGGCTTCCCACCCCATCACATCCTAGCCGCCTTACATTTCTGGCAGCATCATGGTCCCATGAATAATTAAAAATAAAATATTTGCTGCCCAGATGTGCCCAAGAGGAGAATAGTGCGTTGTTATCTGCAGGGAAGGGGGTCCCTAATTGGGGAAGAAAGCGGCTCTTTGTCCACCAGCCTCTGTCAATGTTTCTTTATTGCTGAGGGCGGGTGACCTCCCGCAGGGGTCTCCCAAGCAAGTCAGGAGTGGATGGTCGTTAGCACGGCTTGCTTGTCTGTCAAAGGGCCTTTCACTGCCGCTGCTGACTCCCTAGGAAGTCTGAGGTTAAGCTTGGCAGGAGCACATGAGCTCAAATAATGAAGACGGTGTTGCCCCCGCCTTGAAACAAAGCCAGAAAACTTGATCTGCTTCATTGTGCCCTTTGGGTCATGTGCTAACACCGAGGCCTTCTGGAGCGCTAATCCCCCTAATGATGCCTTCTCCCAGCCCTTGCCCAAACCCCACAAGGCCCCCTGGCCTGGCAAGCCAGTCAGAATAAAGGCAGCACGGTGTTCGGCTTTTGAACTGAGTTCAAGGCAATTAAAGTCAAGGGCGAAAGAGGGAAGGAGCGAGCTTAGAAATACCAGCATAATAAGCAGTTTGACTGGGGCGCTCTGCAAATTAACTCAATTAGACAAAGCCTGATTTAACGGGGGTATGCGGGGAGAAGCTCTCCCCTCATTAAGTTGGGCTGTTGGAGGTACTGCTAATGGAATTAAACTTCTTTTAGTGGTTTGAATCACACATAGAAGAGTCTGTACATGTACTCGGACCCACGAGCACATGCATGAACGCTAGGATTTTTGTGGGAATTTTTTTTTCAATGTACAGAGGGGTCGGATAGACGGTCTCACAGAAATATACCTCCCCCAAGCAAAAGCCCCCCACCCCCTAAATCAAAAACAGGACCAGCCTGAGGCATCAAGAGCACGCGCATAGGAGAGAGCAGCAGAGCAGCTCGAGGTGTGGCAGACCATGGGCCACCTTGGGTGGGGGCTTCTATTGGCTGGTCTGGGCTGTGGCCTCCTGTCCGGAGCTTGGGCACAGTTCCCTCGGGTCTGCATGACCGTGGATAGCCTGCTGTCCAAGAGGTGCTGCCCCCCACTGGGCACAGAACTGACCAATGCCTGCGGCACTCAGCAGGGCCGGGGCCAGTGTAGGGAAGCGCAAGTGGACACCCGACCTTGGAGCGGACCTTACGTCCTGCGCAACCAGGATGACCGTGAGCAGTGGCCCAGGAAATTCTTCCAGTGGACCTGCAAGTGCACAGGTGAGAAGTGAGGGACCTCGGTGCCCAGGGCATGGTGGGGAGGACTTCAGCCGGGAAGGATACAGAAGACTCTCTGGAGCAGCAGGTGGTGAAAGACAGGCCTGACTGACTGGGGGTTGTGGTTGTGTAAGGCCCGTCACTTGGTTGCTTCCTTCCCCGGATGGAAGCTAACTCAAGACGGCCCGGGTCAAACCCGGTTACGTGGACTCATGCCAACTGCCCACTGGCTTGTTGGCTGGAAAGAGGGAAGCTCAGGAGCATCAGAGTCAGCCATGAAAGGCAGAGCAAAGTCCTTTCAGGATGGGTGTGGCGCCCTCTCCTTCCGAAATGGGTTTGCACTTGTCGGAGTGGGGGGTATGGGGGCTTGGCATGGGGAAGCCAGTAGAGAGAGTTCAGTCACCCTAGACTCAGTGTTCCTAATGATCTGAGCAGAGGTCCAGCAGGGTATCTGTTTATTCAAACGATGGTGCCAGGTGGGAGGGTGGAGCTATTTCTCTGAGCAGGGGAATAAGGTTAGAAGGCAATTCCCACTCTTTTCTGGGTTTCACCTGGGCATTTCCAAATGAATTCAGGGACCCCTTCCATCTCTATTTTTTTAAATATATATATATATATTTATATATATATGTATCTCAAACTCTCTTACTACCTGGGCCTTTGACATCTCTGCATGTTGGTCATTTCTGGGGCTCTCCAGAACCTTCTCTAATCCTCTGGCCTTGTGCCTCTCTCTGGGGCACAGATGTGAGTGCGAAGTTGATCACTCAGAACCTACTAGGATGTTGGCTTTTGGAGCCCAGAGAACACAGCCAGCCAAGTTGGAATGTTGGACGCGGTTGTAGTGTGACTGGCCACTTTGGAGATTTGGCTTTTTTTTTTTCTTTTTGGGTCACACCCGGCGATGCTCAGGGGTTACTCCTGGGTCATGCACTCAGGAATTACTCCTGGCGGTGCTCGGGGGACCATATGGGATACTGGGAATCGAACCCGGATCAGCCATGTTGGCTGCATGCAAGGCAAATGCCCTACCCGCTGTGCTATCGCTCCAGCCCCAAGAGATTTGGCTTTTTGAATCCTGTTGTTTTCTCGTGTTTTCAGTTGATGATTGAGCTGGGTCAGGGTACAATAGGAGAAATGAAGGGAATGTTCAAATGTTGAATGCTGAGAGGAATGACAGTGGTTTGTTCTGGCTTATAAATGGTATACTGACCAGAGATGCCAGGGGCTGACTCAGAAGATGGCTTCTTTGCAGCCAACAGGCACTGAGTTAAATCCCTGGCACCACTCCATGTACCAAGTACAATCTTGGTGGCCCTGACATTAGGGATCCCCAGTGCTAATATCAACAATAGCCACAAAGGGAAGGGAAAGGAAGGGAAGGGAAGGGAAGGGAAGGGAAGGGAAGGGAAGGAAAGGGAAGGGAAGGGAAGGGAAGGGAAGGGAAGGGAAGGAAAGGGAAGGGAAGGGAAGGGAGGAAAAAAGCTTAAAAAAGAAGACAAAAAGTTTTCAGCTAGTTTTCATCAAATTTATGATCACAGTTGCTAATTTTATGGTTCAAAGGAATTGTTACGTTTTTCCCCTGGATATTCACTAAATGACCAAATTGGGCCATCTAAGACATGTTGAATATATGTTCTCTATGTTTGACTATTTACTCTCCCCTCTCCTACACAAATTGCATCTTTGCTTCTAGGGACATTCCCTCAAAGAGTCTCAGCACCTTTTAGTCTTGTGAGAAGCAGGAATTTCATTCAATTTAGGATTGGACACTACATGAGACTAGTTTGTTTGGCTGTGACTCAGAAATTCTTCTGGAACATGTCTTTCTCGCTCAATCAGTGATAGGGATTCATGGACTGGAATCTCCTTTTTGTATAGAACCCTTGGTGCACAGAAATGAGGAAATCTAATATTCGTGAACACTCTTATTTTTTTTTATCTGGCTAGCAAGTTGTTCTTTGAGATGGAAAGATTAGAGAACTGTAGAAACAAAGGCCAGAAAGGAAGGATGATTCCTTCTATCCTGAGGATTGCCTGTAAATCTTCCTCCAGAAGTCAGAATAACTGAGAGTTCTACTGCCCTTTCAAAGTTTCAAAGGGGATCCCTGTTTCAAGGAGAATAAACATACTGAAAAGGCACTTGGTGGGGTTAGAGGGGTGGGGATAGGGCTCAGGGACCGAGCACAGGCTGTGGATATGTGAGATCCTAGGTTCTGACCCCAGCACTGCATCCCCCCCACCCCAGCACCTCCAGGTGTAGAGCCTGAACACCACCCTTGATCTATGAGACCAACAGAGAAACACGGTCTAGCCTGTGAAGTCCAGTTGGCAGGACGTCACAAGCCCATAATCTCACCCAAGGAAACAAAGCTTCCTCAGAATGTAGCACTTCCCTCCTGAAATGGTCAGGGCCATGGCTTCCCCAGAGATCCACTCTCTGAGTATGGCAATTTCTATTCTTCAAAAAAAGGGAAAATTCCCTTCTCTCCATGGTTTGATCTTTCTAGGCTTATTTCGGTCATAGCTCTGTCCACCCCAGCAGTGCATGGCTCCACTTTGAACCACTGAGATAGCCTTTTATTGTCATCTCAGGACACTGAGTCCTCAGTGAGTGAGCTGGGAAATCAGTAAACTGGCACAGTAACCATTGCTCCAGGCTGGGTCAGGTAGGAGTGAGCTTCCTTCCTTCTCCCTCCCTCCCTCCCTCCCTCCCTCCCTTCCTTCCTTCCTTCCTTCCTTCCTTCCTTCCTTCCTTCCTTCCTTCCTTCCTTCCTTCCTTCCTTCCTTCCTTCTTTTCTGTTCTCTGCCTAGGGATCACTCCTGGCAGCCTTGGATATAGGGTGCTGGGATTGAACCTGCTGTACTATTGCTCCAGTCTCAAGTCTATGCAATCTTGAAGCTGGTAAAAAGATTTTAACCTGGGGGTTAGAGATTGATATAGGAAGTTAAGGAACTTGCCTTTCATGCATCCTACCCCAGTTAGATGCCCAGCACCACAGGGTCCCCTGAGCACCAAACAGAGAAACCCCTGAGCACTGAACCAGGAGTAGCCCCTGAGGGCTTTTTGGTGTCATCAGAAAACAAAACAAACAAAACAAAACAACAACAACAACAACAACAACAAGATAAAATCCTGTTTTATCCTAATGAATAGCTGAAGATCCGAGAGTAGGGGGCTGCATTTTGTGCTTATTGTCTAGAGACAATGTCTCTATTTTCTGGGGGAAGAAATGAGTCCCAAACCACTGAACTTAATTGTCAGGAAAAGCTGAATTCCAGCCAATGTGGGCAAGTGCCATTCACCTTACGGCAGTACATGCCAACCGGCGTTTCTGATAATAGACTAGTTGCAGCTGTACCTGTGGACACATGACTGGGTGTGGAAAAAGGTGCACACCCAATTGTTTTGGAATAGTTGGCTGAGAAGTTCTTGTTTGTACAAGTGACTAAATGTCTCCATTTTCCAATCTCTGAAATGGGTATAATGATGAAACCACACTTGTAAAATTCTTTTGAGCTCTGTAGATGAAAGGCGCCGAGTGAGTATAAAGTATTGTTATTAAAATAATAGAATCTCTAATTAAAAGGAATAGGCTATTTAGAACTCCTTGTAAAGTCACTAATCGGTGGTCTTTAAGCTTATTTAGTCTAATAAGCTTCTGAGGTTAAGCTGATGCAGTTCATGTAAGAACGTGCAAGGTTTAGTTCTTACTCTTTCCGTTTTTGCCTCTGTCCCAACTAAGTACAGAATTTTGACTTTTGACATTTAAGTTTTGCTCAAAAGCACAGAGGTAGATATATTAGTATCTAGGAGTCTTCTTTTTACTCTCACCATTTCCCAGTAAGATAACGTAATTTTTGTTGCCATTATTGGTGGCTTAAATAGGGGAAAATTGACCCACATTAAATTGAAGCAAGAAACTGCTATAAAATCTAAATTAAAGAAATAAACATTTTATGTGCTAGACTTCTATTGCGTACTTTTCTAATGCCTTCAGCATTTTAATGCATTCTTTGTGTGTGTGTGGTTAGGGGACCACATCCCCCATTGCTGAGGATGGGGTGGGGTGGAGGGTTATTTCCAATTTAATGCTCGGAATTGCTCATGGCACTGCTCAGGGTACCATGCATTGCCAGGAAGCAAACTCTGAACTCCTAATGCATTGTGTTTACCCAGCCCCTTGAACTCTGTATTCCTGCCCCCTAAATTTGCTCTTCAGACCAGATTTAGAAGCATAAAAATCAGAGACTTCACTTCAGAGCTTTGTTGGATTATCTTTGAGACATGCTGGAAAAAGAATTTTTTTTTTCTTTTTGGGCCACACCTGGCAATTCTGCACTCAGGAATTACGACTAATGGCTCTTGAGAACCATTAAAAGATGCAGGGATTGAACTCGAGTTGGCTTCATGCAAGACAAATGCCCTACCCATTGGACTCTCACTCGGGCCCTGGAAAAAAGAATTTTTGAGTGACTGCATTGGACTAAACTCAAACCCAGACACAGGTCTGCTTATTAAGATGATCATATTATTTCTTGGGGGGAAAATTCTAGTTTTGTGAGACACGAGAGGACTTATTTCAACCTCTAGATGAAGTGTCTCTGAGTCACGATTTGTCCTTTTTCCTTTGTTCTTCATAGTACTTGGTCTGTTCTGTTCTATTTCCAAGTGACACTGGAATTTATATTTCATCACTCCATGTTCTTCATATCTTCTAGGTCAAGGCAATGGTCATTCTCTATATTTCTGTCTTCAAGTCTTTGCTTTTTACTCCATTATTTATATATTCTTCCACCACCCTGTCACCCCCATGCTTATTTAACACAAGTTAAGGACCTTCAGGTGCCAAGAGAGGAAAGTTCTCACCATGAGTTTTACAGTATCCACAACATACTGGGTGAGTAAGGTAGCTATGAAAATGGATATTTAATGACTTAATAACTGATCTCTAGCAATGCTTATTGTGCTAGCAGCTAATATAGAACCTTCTTTGACCAGA